TGCATTCCTAATGGCATTTGTCCTGCATTGCAGAGAATGACTGATAAATGCTTCAAGAAGTGCATTGGCAAACCAGGAAGCACATTGGACAACTCCGAACAGGTGGGAAAAATACTTCCTATGCCATTAACCATGTTTATTTAAGAAAAAACAACAACATCTAAACCCTGTAAATTTGTACCCCTTTTGTTTTTCCCAGAAATGTATTGCCATGTGCATGGACCGCTATATGGACGCATGGAACACGGTCTCCCGTGCATATAATTCAAGATTACAGAGGGAAAGGGCACGTATTTGATGTGCAGATGGCAGCCGGTACTACCTCAGTCATCAGGTAGAGATGTCTAGTCTGTAAATGCACGACGGGTTTGTAGACTTGACTCTCTTACCACACAACATCAGCTGATGGCTTCAGAAGCAACCAGGTGGTTGGATTTAGACTCTACATGGACATTTTTCATCACATTTTGTGTGTTAAAAAGATTGATTGTTGTAGTAGCAGTTCTTTTGCTTGAAATGATGGCCAGAATTGGAATAACAAAAGAATGGGTCTGGATCCAGTTCCTGTTCACTGGTTTAATAACAATGCTAAATTTGGACCACTTATGTTGTTATCTATTCATTAAGCAGAATCAAAATTCAGTGTACTATCTGTCTGCCTTTTGTCATTGGGTGGATGTTGCTCCATTTCCTGAGAGAAGGGCTCAATTTACCAACTCTGTTCCACAAACCTAGTTCTATTCCCAGAGGGGGAGAATTCAGAGGCGTCTTTGTTGCAATAATTGTCACTTCTTCACCAGGAGCGGCTGAACAGTCCTTCTTACTTACCTCTGAAGAACAAACCGCAGTTGTCAACCCTGGAGTGTCATTTGTCTCATTGTCGGTTAAATACAGTAGTAGGGTTGTCTAGAACTGCAAACCCTGTAAAAGTAGTTCCCTTTGTGTACACACGTCAAAATTCCCCATTTCCTTCGCTTTATTAAACATTGAGACGCAAACTCCACCAGGACATGTCCAGACAGATGTTGTGTAATTGTCACCAAGCTGTTTTTATGGAATGTAAATAAATACCACAGAATCAGTCCATTTTTATTGATGTTTATTCTTTCATTGGTTAACAGGTGTAGCACCATTTGTACAAATTAGGACTGAAACACTAAGCAAGTACATGATTGTACATGTTGCATTCTCAGCGTTGCCATATGGGGCGCTATAGCATGCCTTTCCACAAACTGTCTTCTACAGCCGGGTCAAGTTCTGTCATGGCAGAGCAACACTTTAAAAAGCATCTTGTTTAATGGCACAGACTTTTGCATTGAGGTTTAGTTCCAGGTTTTGTATTGAGGTTTAGCTTTTGATTTGTTGTTCTAGTGCAGTGGTTCCCAACCCTGGTCCTAGAAGCACCCCAACAGTGCACGTTTTGCATGTCTCCTTAATCAAACACA